AATGCAAGTGGGGTGGCTTGCAGCAAAATTCCCATTGGCTTCATGTGTATTGATTTGGGCCAACAGTGCAAAATCCAGCAGAATTTTTTTCAATTGTTTTTTGCATAATCATTAGTTTTCTTTCTTTCTTTTTTTCCTCCATTGGTTTTGTGTTATGGAAAAGTATATTTTTTTCCGTTATTTGCTGAAATTAGTTCTCCTCTGGTGCATACAACTGCATCGTCATTAGTAGCAGGAGTGAAGAAGCTGCAGTTCCACAGCAAGTGGTTCTCCCATTTGAAGCAATATGTAAGGAACAAGGCCTAGTGTGAGATCTAGGAATGCCTTCCAAGCCCTGGGCATCTCAGTGAGGCACACAGAGGTTTACTGTGGGTGCTCTGCGTGCTCTTGGAATGCTGGAAGGCCCAGCTCTACATAAGGGAGTGCCTGCATAGTTTGCTCCGTTAGTCTTATGTCTTTAGCTTTAGCAGGAGGGAAGTTAGTGGGGAACCAAACACAGAACATGGCTTTGGGGTGAAAAAGTGCCTGGTACGGAGGTGGCTTCTGAGAGGCTACCTGGACACATGAATTCTGACCTAAAGAAGTGATGGAGCAATATTTTCTTATATGAACCTGGAAGCAGATTCAAAGCCTTTGCTGTTTTAAGTGGAAGAATAAATACCCACTGTTTATGTTAACAGATCTATTCCCATGATGGGTATTAAAGATTTCATTATAAGTAAAGACTGTAGAAATGAGCATGTACTAACTGTATTCTTTTTGGAGGATCTTACATTAAAAATTCATTAAAGTGGGCTTTGCTGCATTATTTAAAATGACAACAGGAGACAACAAGCTGAATATTTTGTCATTGATATGACACTTCAAATTGGCCTCCTTATTCATCACTCTACCACTCAATTAAATTACACACTATCAAGATCTTGTGTTGTGGGAAAAAAATTAGAAAGATAACTAAAAATATATATGACATGAGTTTTAAGTATAATTGGTATTTTATGTTATTCTGCAATGTACGTCTTTTTTTCTTTTTCTGCATTTCTGCTTATTAAAGAAAATGTCAAGCAGATTGATCAACAGAAAATACAAAATTATAACATATTCTGGGGTGGTATTACATCAAGACAGAATGTTTGTCACCTATGCTGGTTTTGTTTGAATGGCATTACAGTACAGCTGGGTGGGAAAAAAACTTTCTCAGGGAAAAAAAAGCCCATCTTGTCAAAACCAGTCAGCCACTTGTCACAAAATAGTATTTGCATCAAAACAATTAATAACGCCCACTCCTTCTACAGGTTCATCTAAGTTCTGAGTAATGAAATTCATGCCCTTTTCCATGGGTCACACAAAGTACTGGTACTGCTCCTGTGTGTTTGATCTGGCTTTCTGAGATGCTGGGAGTCTGAAATCATAGAATCATAGAATGAATCATAGAATGTTTTGGGTTGGAAGGGACCTTCTCCTGTTGGATGTGCCAGAGTCAGCTGCTAATCTTCATGTCTCAGCCAGCTTTTCCAGAGCTGACTGCTAGTCCCATTCCTTCAACCATTTGTGAACTGGAGAGTCTGTTCATGCAACACCAACACACGGTGGAATCACTTAAGTGCCTCTACAGGGTACTGAGCTACGGAAGAAAATACAACATTGCGTATTGGTAACCAAACACAGCCTGGCTGGGATTACTGTGCTGACTAGATGCAGAGGGCCACTTCATTTTTTGAACCTGTTTTTCCTACCACACCTTTGAAATCAAGATGTGTCCTACCTTAAGTTTCCTGACACTTGATGTACTTACATTTGTAAAATGTTTAGAGATCCTTGTACAAGATTTGTAAACCTAAAGAATTATTGGAAAATAATTGTTTGCTGGGAATAGAGCCTGTGTGTTACTGCTTTGATGATAAATGTACTCAGTGGAAACTGCTACATAGCAGAGTTTTTTCTATATCTCCAAGCAACTGAAACAGTAGCTGAGATATTTTTGATCTACAGTTACTCCAAAGACAAAACTATGCTGACTAAAAGTCTTGCTGTATTGCCTGTCAATGTCCAGCTTGGAATACATAAATATCTGATGGCTTTTATCAAGTGCTGGCACGCTAAAAGAAGATTATTTGAGAAGTTAGTGTTAGGATCCAGTTTTAAGATTTTTGCTGAAGATAACCAAACGATGGAGCTGGGTTCATTTTTGTGGTGTCTTGACACAATCTTGCATCGAGTTCATTTGAGATTTAGGTAGGATGAAGGGGGATACAGACTGAGTCCATGGGAAGCTATCAGCCTAAGTAACTAAATTTATTGTTCACCAAAATTCCTGAAGACTTAATGATACACTGATCTTCTAATATCCAGCAACCTGTTTGAAGACAAATGCTACTTAGTTTGGTGTATTTACCAGATCCTGCCATTCCTCTGCTATCATGTGGAAGAGCTGGGTTTGTGTTAAGGCATATAATTATTCAAGGAACATAACAAGCAGTTTAAAAACTGATAAACATTATCCAGTGAAAAATACTGACACCTCTTATTTAAATACACAGATAAATGCATATAGATACATTTCATAGCTACTTTAGCCTAGGAGTTCATGCTGTTGGTCTCAGAAAAATGAAGTACAGTTTGTTGGGAGTTTTTTGCAGAGGGGAGTATTTTGTGAGAGAACATAGAAGAATTAAGAGCTGCTTTTACAAAATAAGCATGAAAATAATTTGTGTTGAAGGATACGAATCTAAGGAACATGGAAGATGTAACAAGAGCCTGTCAACCTCTAGAGAACCTTACAAAATAGCTTCTGGAAAGCATAGGGCACCAAAGGATTGCTAACAGGAAAGTAGGGGCACCGTTTTGAAGTTCAATAGCTCCATTTGTCATTCCCTTCAAATGCAAATCTTCCATAAAGGTAATTTAGTTGTTGATATACCCAAAAAGAGAAATTTCTGGGTAACCTATGCCTGAGCAAATATACCATCTGAAAGCCAGCTTTACATCCCTATTTATTGCAAGATGCTGTTGACTGCAAGAATTTAGAAATTGCTATTTGCTTGAGAGAGTTCTGCATATAGTAAGATCCTCTAGCATCAGGCTGCTGTTTGTTTACCTCTCTAGATTATAGATTATTCCTTTCACATGGAGATGTCAGCCCCTCAACAGTAAGCCAGTGGTAAAGGTAAGGGAATCTAGGTCATTGCCATGCTATGAGGAGACTAGGCTTACAACTCGTCATCATTAGTAAGTTGAAGTAAAGAAAACATCATTTTTAAAATGCTGTGATCTCTAAGAGCTTAAAAGTGATGTATCGTTTAAGCTTATAATGCAAAACTAGGGTATAACCAATGGATGCAGATGAATATAAATTGATTTGGTGGCAGATGCACATCTGCAGCTGAGACCAAACATTCAATTAAAAAAAAAGAAGCTAGTAATTCTTCACACTTCAGAAAGGCTATCCAAAAAGACAATTAAGGCATTTGAGAATTTTCACACAGAAAAAAATGTACCACTGCGCCAACATTATGAAGCACTGTTTTATTCATTGAGGCCCTAAACATGAGGGTGAATACAGAAAGAACCCCAAATTCTGTTAGAAGAAATGAGAGAATATTGTGAGGAACCTCAGAAAGGCTAGACCAAACTACGTGAATGAACATCACCCAGGTACCTGGAACTCCGAGTTGGCATGCTGGGAAGGAACAGAGAAACGGCTTGTTCACTTTTTTAAATTCGAGGTTAGCTGTAACAGCTCAGGAGAAATACCTGGCTGTGGCTTATTGCATACCGTGGACAGTTTAATAAACACTTCCACTGTTAACCAAACGGAACAGCAAGTGAACATGTACAGAAATGGGCAATTGTCCTGGAACGATCGCGGTGCCCTTCTACGCTTTCTCACCCTAAACACTGTGTTTATTTCTCAGCCCTTTGTCCAAATAAAACACAAAAAAAAATTGAGAGGTAGAGGGAAAAAAAAAACATGGAAGAGGCTTCCTTTGGATTCAAAAAATGTTGGAACAGCCAGAGTCGTACTGAGAAAGTGAAATGGGTGGAATTGCGGTGTCGCCACTTGGCACACCCTGATTTCACATAAACCCAGAAAGAGACAGGCATTCTCAGGGAAAGAAAAATTTGGCATTTTAAGACCTTTTGCATCCTTCCTGATCTTACTAACATACTTACTCATTACATTAGTTTTGCGTATATCAGAGCGGCTGCTTTGTAATATTAAAAATTCTCAAAAACTTCTTGCCGCCTAGCTTGATAAGCAAGCACTTCTAGAGTGGTAGGTTATGCCTGGTTATCAGCAGTGAAACAGTATTTAGTTAAGTACTTAGGTTAAAAGTTTATCTGCAGATTTGGATATTCTTTTAAGAGCTAAATGTACCATTTTCTTCTACTTCATTTTGGATATGATCCCACCCTGGAACCATACAGGAAAGCTGTGCTAGTTAAGCAAAACTTTGATTTTAATAACATTGTGTATATGTTATGTATGTAAAAACATACGAATTTAGAGTTTTTCTGGATTGTACACACCCAATACACGCACCCAATCTAGGAGAGCTTTTTTTGTGACATGCCCTTCTACCTGTCTATCTGTACACCACTAAATCATTGAGATATTTTTCTTTAAGAGGAAAATAATGGCACTGAGTTTGTAATTTCTTATTAATATTTTTTTTGCCTGAAATATATTCCAAAATATTACACAGCAAGTATTGCTATTTGGAAATAGCAGACTCTTCTTTGATCCTTTTTAAGGGGAGAATACACTGGAGCGAATGATGCACATTCAGCTAATCCAGTACCAAAAAAAAAAAAAAAAAAAAGAGAGAGGGAAAATAATTCTTAGAGAATAACACAGGGAATTGTATTTGTGATATAAATGAGCTTTTGAAAATGGGTAACATATTTAACTACTGTGAATAATCTGTGCATAACAGTTGGAATTATAAAAGCCCCATAATATGTCTATAATCATGATGTGTTTCTTTGCTGTTTTGCAGGCAGACCAGTAATGATTGTAGTTGAATACATGGAGAATGGATCCCTTGACTCCTTTCTGCGGGTGAGGTGCCATTTTCTGATGACATTTGAATAAGATGCCATTCTAGGTTAAGATTTTAAATCATTTATCATAAATTAACTTCTACCTAATGTTATTCATGGATTTTTAGTGAAGAATAAAAGCATTTTCCCCAGGGTACATTTCTAAGGTACAGTGATACATTAGAGCATAGCTGGAAAAAAAGAAGATTTAAACTTAAGAATATAATTGATTTCTTCTACAAAAGTAGTTCCCATATTTAGCAAAATGTATTTCACATAGTGTTTTTGTGAAGGAAAAGACAAATTAAAGCACCAATGCCTAGCCTTATGGAAGCAGTTCATTTTTCTCAATCACCTTCAAAAATACTTTGTTATGATTTTTTTGGTTGGTGAAGTGTAGAATAGACTCAGTAATTGATTTATAGTTATTTATGGTTACTTGCATTTAACAAATTGAATAGGAAAACAGTTCATGGGTGAAATGTCCTGGCATTAATTAACCCCCAAAGGTCACTAATAAACATTAAAGGTCTACAGGACGCATGAATAATATCTTGGCAAAATAGTATTTAGTTTTTCTTAGAAAAGTAGAAGGAAAGGATGACCACCTAAGGTAAACTTACCCTAAAATGGTCTCTTTGTTAACGGAACCCCTGGAAATGCTCCAGATGCCCACTGACATAAGACCCTGTGTGAATAATCTGATTGTCAAGTATTTCAAATTTGTCTTAAAAAGTAAACATCAGTCCTCACTAGCCCGCTGCCTTGCCATTGCTATCTTGCAGAATGGTGAAGCTGGGATTGTAGGCAGGGTCGGGGGGCAGGGGGACTACAGTTTTGTGAACTTGTTTGAAAGGTTATCCCAAGTGCAAAGGAGAGGTGTTCAACAAGGAGCTGTGAAAATACTTGTAGCAAAAATCTAGATGGTTATGATGATGATGATGGAGGATGCTATGGTGGCAGGAAGAAGGAACTGCGAAGGGAAAAGAGTGAATAAGCAGAATGGAAAGAACAGCCAACACTTTAGAAGAAGACTAAATTAGAGAGAGGGAGAGGAAGTCATACAGGGAGTGCTTGTTTGACAGCCAGTCGAGAAACGAGGTAATCGGCTCTCTCAAATAATTTTTTATTTTCCTTTGTCAAGACACATGACAGACACCTGCTATGTTGTCAGAAACACACCAGCACCACAGTTTCTGGTGAGAATTTGGTGATCTCTCAAAATCAAGTATTTTTCTGGAGAGACTTTGCTATCATCAAGTTCTTCTTAGAAACTGGGTAGGTCTTAAAATCACACACCTCCCCTTGCCTTTCTGGCTCATTTCTCCGTCTGTCTGCAGCAGACAGACTGCCAATGATTTGAGTACCTGGGTCTTCCCCAGTCTGTAATTTTTCAGCAGCGCCCCAGGAAGACTTGCCTGGGCCTGAAACTCTGCTCTGTGCATGTGTGTGCGTGTGTGTGTGCAGAATTTCATGGAAGAGAATAAAACCAAATACTGAAATAATTCATGAGAAATAATTACTTTTCTCTGAATTGCTCTAGTTGGTATCTATATTCCAATTATTCTTCATTTATTTATCAGAATAGTTATTACATATTAGGATAGTTTAACAGAAGCTGATGTCAGCAAAATTACTATGTTATTGTGAAGCAATACTTCTCACATTGTATCAGATATATTTGTAGGCAAAACAGCTGGGGGGGGAAACGTGAGCTAATCATTTCTGCAGCTGGTTTCCATGTATATTATTTTACAGTTTCAATTCATGCTTCGGATATGTTTATTCTTCTAAAATGCTTTTTAAAAGGACTAATATTCAGCACCCAAAAGCACTGTAGATATATCACCAGCATTTCTGTTCATAATTAGCAGAGCAAATGGCTGCAAAGTAACCCATTTAGAAAGAAATCCAGCTGCTTCATTAGTAATAGTTGTTTCCTGCAGATATAAGTCCACACTTTTAAAAGCTTTTGTTGAAGATACAAAGCAGCAGAGAGAGTTTATCTTTAGCAATCCTAATGAAAGGTGTTCAGTGAATATAACTATTCTTAGGAGATTTGGAAGGGCTTATACGATAGTCTTTCTTATTTAAAAGAATCATTTGTTACAGAGAGGGAAAAAAATCCATTTCTCCCAATAAAAAATATTTCCCCACATGCCTGTAAAAATGAACCAGCACCCCCACCCACCCCCCAACCTTCTTCAAAAGCCTGCAAAAACAGGTAAATCTTACAATTTCAAAGTGAAACTCTGTAATGAGCCATGTGAGGGTATTCCAGAAGAAAGGGTCCTCATGTAAGACTTTTGCTATCAGTCTCCTCACGGCCTTGGTGGGATGTTAGGTTTCATGCTGGTACAAGTAGTGCAAGGAATTGTAAACTCCAAGTAAAGCTCCCCTTGACCACTAAATCCTGAAGTCTTAATAGCCTTTACTTCCTTGCTTTACAGATAGGGAAATAAAGAACCAAGATGTAAAGTGATCTGCATAGTGCTGTGCACAAAGTCCATAGCAGAGAGTAGAAATTAAATCAGTTCCCCCGAATTCCAGACCAGCAGCTTACACTCATCCTTCATCTCAGTGCTGTATTTTGGTTGCAGTTATGTAGCCAAGTCCCCAAACCCATGCCTTACTTTCTGCTATTTGTGTGAATTAAACAGCAAGCTCAGCTAGATTGTGTCTTCCCCCATCCTACAAAATATCCTGTATGCTGGCTGCTAACTTTGAGCTTTTGGGGAAAAAATTTAGCATGCACTTGCAACATGAAGATGCTTCAGATACATTCTTAGTGGAAAAGCATCAGCTAATTAGAACCAATTCTGTAAGATGATGGTAATTAATTACAGCAGTTGTGCACCACCAGACATCCTAAATTGCTGGAGACACTTGACATTGAATTTTCCTCAGAAATCCTGAATTATTTTTGCAATTATATAAAACTCATTTCCATAAGATGAAACTCCATTATCTTTTTTTCTCATAGAAGACTGATGCATGTCAGTTAAGCATCCCACAAAAGTATACCTGAAATTTGCTGTCAAGGAAATGCTCATTTGACCAGAAATAAGGTATATGCGACTTCACTTCTGGTAACACTTGGAGAGATTTCTCTGAAGAAGGACGTGAGCTTCCAGCTTAGTATTTCCTTGGGGGCTAGAGGCTCTTCTTTCAGTATTGCTCCAGCAGCTGCCAGATAGGACTAATCTGTGCTTGTAAAAAAACTGGCCAGGTACAGTTTGCTATTACCAACTTCACACACAGACTTCGGACGGGACACACTGTCTTTACGTTCCAGTCACCTCCCTGTGTAATGGAGATCTTAGCCATCACTTATTCCGCAAACGTATGAGGAAAATAATAACCACATGAAGAGTTGAAAGGGCAGCTATCTGTATTGCTAAAAGATGTACTCAGTAATTAGATAGGATAGCTGCAGTGAGGTAAGCTTGCTCAGGCTTGTTGATACACAGTATAGAAGATACAACAAGAAACACAACCAAGAGAGATGCATAATAGAAAAAAAAAAAAAAGCCTAAAAAACACAAAACCTTTTTAACAAGCAGTTTGCCACTGTTGTGGCTTTGAGCTGTCTGTTCTCTGAGCATGGCCATGACCAAGGAAAACACATGGGTATGGAATCACCGCTTGGTGATCTTGCAGTCTTCGTACATGATATAAATGAAACCCCATTTTGCTGAGGGAAGACAGAGATGATTGCCACATTGCACCAAAGTCCATGCAGCAGTTTGGAGGGTAATACAGTAATATAAACCAGGTTATCCCAATTTCACTCCTCAGCTGTTTGTGCTGGACAGCACAACGTTTCCCTCAGTCTTGCCTGTCAGATGATTGCAATAATTTCTATAAAAGTCCTTTGCCCAAGGGTTGGTCCTTTCACCCCAATATACCCTCCCTGGCTCAGCCCACTTTCTAAGTAGGTGCCTCATAGACTTATGGAGCTATGTAGAGTTAAATCTCATCTACTGTTTTCACAGAACCATCTAAAGGGTCATTCTTAGCTAAAGTAATTGGATTTAGCATCCCGTAGACAGGAACAGGGTGATTAGGAGGCTAGATGTCTCATGTGTTTGGGGGGGCCTGCTGCTTCTTGGGTTCAGTTGCACAGAATGCTACTGGGAGAGCATCTGCTGGCTGTGGTCTGCATTCACCCTCCTTGTGCATCATTCAGTATGGGCATGGATTTAAGCCGCAGAAAAGGAACACAGAGGTTGACTTTTGGGGATGTTTGTTTGTGGATGGCTAGCTAGAATCATGTCAAATGAACCAGAAAAACTATCACCAGAGTACTTTAACTTCTTTCAGTATTTTTCTGCAGCTGGAGACTACCAGACTACCAGCATTTGTTTCTGCTCTGTGTCCAAGGTGTGCTAACCCATAGTCAGCTCAGTGAGGCAAAAACCAGGGACACAGCAATATTAATCAGATGAGAATTCAGGGTACTGCGGCAGGTTCTGTAGCAGGCCTGATACTAAAATAATCTATCAGCTGTATCCCCTGCACCATATTTGCTCACCCTTCTTGATTAGGAAGGGAATGTGCACTCTCCAGGGACCAACGTGGGAAAGAGAGCTCCTCAGGGGCGCAGCGTTTTCCCTTAACTGTAGTCCGAAGCAATAGATGTTTAGGTTTGAAAGATGCTCCAGTCTTGCCCGGTTTTGTGAATCTCTGTGCTGTAGGAGGAAGGGATTAATCTACCTAGGGTAATCACAGGGTCATCTTGCTTTCTTCATTGTTACTATTTGTCGTCGTAATGCTCCTCTTCCTATCTAAAAACTTGTGACTGATACATTTCCTTTCACTTCAGAAAATTAAAATACTTGTAAAAATAATTTAGATTTATTTACAGGCATGCATAGTAGGTAAAAATGCTGTAAAATGTATTTTGTTCTTCCAAAGAAAATATTTTGTAAAGATTCTAAAAAATACGTTTAGCTGCCTTAGAGCACTAACTGCAGCAGACTGTACAGCAAATGAAACCCTGGAATTCATCACCACATT